AGACTTAACTTCGGAAATTGCCAAGACTTTTTGCTGTCACTGTTGTTATTCATGTCGTCGTTATCCTCTGTGGTCTGTGTGTTACACTTGAAGCCGTGGGGGTGTTGCAGTGATTTCAGCTCCAGTTTCATTCACTTGACACTTCAGTAGCAGAAATCTGCTCCTCTGTGCATCATTACACTGTTCTTTGTCTCCAAACAGAGCACTGATGCAGATATGAAGACGTCTGAGTCAGGGAGAGGAAATTGTTTCATTTATTCACATGAACTTAATTTTATTGCTTTACTGTTCGAGATTAGGGTCTGAAAAGGGCTTGCGTTTTGCTACTAGGCAGTAATACCACGGTTTTGACTTGTGACTGTGCAAAAGATGTTGACTATCCATCTGTCTGTCTATCTATTTAGTGATTACTGTGTTTTGTAGAACACGTCGAGAGTTTTCAAAACTTTAGTGTCGGCACCATCTCGACTGTGTTTTGTAGAACACGTCCAGAGTTTTCAAAACTTTAGTGTCGGCACTGTGCGTAACCTTGATCTGCAAAATGAATACATTGTCCTGGATTTCTGAAAAAGAAATACATGCACTACATGGAGGTACTGCTCTGTGTGCAGTACTACTAGGCCGCATACTGTATTTTACATGCCTGTGTTGGAATTTCAGATGTGCCTCCCATGAAAAGAGGGCATTGGAGGTGAGTAATCCACGTTGACCTTTGACCTGCTCCGGTAGCTGAACTCTCCAACTCTAATAACTCGTTGGCACCACTTGGATTTACTCGTTTTGGAACCTAAAGGTCTGAGACGAAACGGCACAGATGAGCCGCAGACACACACGTGTGTGTCCGTGTGCATCATGTACAGGCAGGTGGAATCATTAAAACCAGCAGGCAACACCTGCAGGAGTGTTTTCTGTAGGAGTGTGAAGCAGCTGTAAGTTTCACAGTCACAACCTGCAGAGCACTTTAAATCTCACACACAGAGATTTGGGTCATAGTTGTTATAATTGTGCAGCCTACAACCCAGGTTTATAACAGAAAAAAATAGACCGTACACTTGTCTCAGAAAAGCTTGAGTGTTTGACGGATAGATCCGACTGTAACGTTTGTAATTTGAGACATAAAATCTTGAATGTCCCTTTTACTCTGCGTCTCCTTGTTTAGTTTTTAGGAATTGTTCAAAAGGATGTTTGCCAAATATCTGGGACATCTGGTTTGGGGTCAACAATATAATAATCCTCCAAACTTAAAGAAGTGGACTGATGTAATCTTCTTTCATACACAGAGATCAGAGCCTTCCTGCTCACACAAACAACAACAACAACAACAACAGAGACTACCCAATTCTTTCATTATTATTCCTATTTAGAGCTCTAATTTATTCGGCCTAAGTGGGGAGCAGCACTTTCAAAGGAAAAACCATGAAGAGTGCCGTTCTGATAAGGCATGAAAGTAAAGTCAAATTAGTCAGTCTTCCCTTCTGTTCTCCCTCTCCCATCCTCCCTCACATGTTAAAAAAGAAAAAAACCCACTACATGCATACATCAGTCAGAATCTCCACTTCAAGCAGTGACAATTTACCGTTAATTAGAAAGACTCCATATTCCTGTGCATGTTTACAGCTCTGCCCTGAGCTGCACGATCCACGGCTCAAAGCAGAGGCTGAAGACAGGAGGCTTTGCGTGCCCACAACTCACATCGCTGTCGACTGACAGCTGTAGACGAACGATGCAACGAAGCTCCACATGCAGCCAGTCTCCCTGGTAATTGAACAGAGCAGTCAATGCAAAAGCAGAGCTCTCCTCCAGTCATCATACGCTTCAACTCTTGTTGACAATTGTTGTTGCGTTGCCGTTGTGAGTCGGATGCTACGAGCGCCTCCATTTGCATACATCGTCTTCAGAAACTGCCATCCTTTAATCAATACCCTGGTCCGTCACCAGACTACTTTTACTTTATTTTGTTTTTGTTTTTAAAAGAAAACAATATGCCCTGGACCCCCACCCTGTACATTCCTGCAGTCGTTGTAAATGGAACACTTATATAAGACACCGTGGTGGATTATATAAATGTCTCAAAGTTATCAATATTTCATCCTCTGTGTGTTTGATGTGTTTGGTAATTTGGATATTTATGTCACAGCCTTCATCTCTGGAAAACTCCCTTAAACTTCAGCCTTTGTTTCTGTGCGTACGCAAATACCATCCATATGTTGTTGCACCGTGTGTGTGTGTGCATGTGAGGACGCTCTCTGTTTGTCCAAGTCTGCGGACATCCATGTGTGAATTGGCTTGTGCGTACTCGTGCTCCCGGCTTCTCTTCTCCTGTCTTTATGGGCTTCTTGGAAACAAAATAATAGCAATTATAAAACTGGCATCTTTCAGAAAGAGTCTGTACATGGACGTTTTCCCCCACAGGAGAAAGTTAGCGCAGCTTTGGTTTGGTGTGTGTTTGTGTGTATGCAGATGGAGCAGTGGAGCTAAAAATAAAAACTGTGTGCATGTCTTATATTTCTCTGCTCACACACTGAGGTGGTCAAGTGGAGAAAACTGGGAGTTTTGTCTTGCTGGTTTAGATGCCCCTCCAGAGGAAGACAGAGCTTCTGATGATTGGTTTAAAAAAGTGTGTGGGAGAAGAAGCAGTTAGGGACTCCTTTTACAAGGACATGTTTCAAATTTGTCATAGTTACTGTGACAAAGTAGCTGTCTTATCTGACAAACTATTTGGGACAGACTTGGGTTTTGTGGAGAAGAAATTGGCGACTGGACTGGAGTATCTGCTGGTGCCTCTACTGGGAAATGGAGATGAGGAAATGGGAGGAGTGTGTAACATAATGTACAGTATGTGGAAATACACACACAGTATACAGGCAGGATGTACCTAGAGTACCTATAATGTACTGTAGTTCCCCTATGTGCCCAAAGGAGGGTGCTGTTGGGTTTAAATTCAGTGATCCCAAAGGAGTAGAAGGAATAGCCTGCCAAGACAAAAAGGAGAGAAAAAAAAAAGGAAAAGCTGAGCGATGTTAACTGAGGGGGAGAGAGAAGGAGGAGGATGAGGAGGGGTGTTACAGTGAGACTGGGAGGAGGAGGCGGCGATGAAGAAGCCTGAACTGTACCTTCGCAGCCGATTACATCACCGTTGTTTGAAAATACTCCTCCTGGGCTTACGTCAGTCTTTAAAGACGCCAGTCTCACTGTTAGTACAGGAGGAGAACCTTCATCATGAAATGAACAAGAACACAGTCCCTCATCTCCTCACAAAAGTGCTGAAGGTACATACGAGATTCACAAAACGCCAGCGCTCATATCCATCACATCGGGGTTCATAAGTTTAAAACCAAAAACCTATTGTAGGATTGAAATGTACAGCAGGCAGTGATGCAGCCGGGCATCAGTGGGGAAGTTCTGCAGAACTTTAGAGTTCCTCAGACTAACTGCTCCTCTGCCCCACTGCTGTTGGCTCCCTCACTGTACCTGCCTGCCTCCTCAGCAGTTACCACAGCAGTTCAGCAGAAAGTTCTCTCAAAGTGCGTGAGAGAAGTGGAGGGGAGAAGGAGGCAGCGGCAGTGTGAGGTGGAATGTGCACAGGGCCTCATCTGTGGCATATTTGGGCATCTGTGTGTGTGTGTGTGTGTGTGTATTGCACACATGTGTATAATGTAGGTTGGAGTTGTGATAGCCCTCTGTGTGTGTGTGTATGTGGGAGGGGCATCCTAATGATCTCCAGCATTCCTCCTCTGCTGTGTGTCACGAGGTTCCCAGATAACCTGTTTGTGTGATTCTGCTGCGGCTGCGGATAAATCCACGTCCCGTCATCAATCACGACATGTTGGAGGAAGCTGTTTGAATCAGGTTTAGCCCGCTGTGAACACACTCAGTGTAACTGGATCTCCGTTGGTGTGCGGGCACGTGCGCGGGCGCGGGCGTGTGAGTGACATGCTGTGAACGCAGATACAGCAGCACTCAGCACTGGACATCGCAGCAGGCGGCACCTGAGAGGGTTTGAAAAAGGAAGGTGTGTGTGTGTGTGTGTGTGTGTGTGTGTGTGTGTACACACGTGTGGTTCAAAGTGCTGTTAGGAGAAAGGTGAATACTGTAGCAGTCTGAACATGGAGGGATGGACTGAGTGTGGAATCACATTAGTGAGTGTAAAACAGACCTGTTCAGTATCACCTTACACACCTGGGTGCAACATCTAACACACACACACACACACACACACAGGTCTGGCGCAGTTGAGTATTTAAAGACAAACAAATACATGTACAGATACACATCTCGTGGCTGTGGTTCTTCTCTTCTCCTGATAAAACACTGCTCTCAGAGAGCGCCCTCTGGGGTCTGTCCTCTCTGGACCTCTGGGTGAAGCACACACAATTTGCAACATTTATTATGGCCACAAAATTGGACGGTGAACAATGACAGTGGAA